GTCCAAAATCTGCAATCCGCAGGCGACACCACCCGGCCGTTCCCAGGAAGGCGCGGACGCTCCCGTTCAGACGTCGGTTCGGGAATTTGGCAAACAGCGGCCTCCCCGAGGCCCCTCTGCCCCGGCGGTGGTGAACCCCAGGGAGGTTACAGCCTGTGGAGCCACCTGAGCTTCCCTTTTAGACGCCCGCTGTCCGGCGGCACCTAGAAAGTTCCAGAGATTGATTGGCAATAACACGGATTTCTCTCGGGTCTCTGCTCCCAGAAGGATATTGTAGAATCATGGCATCGTTAAGGTTGGAAGAGACCCTGAAGATCACCGAGTCCAACCGTTAACCCAGCGCTGCCAAGGCCACCACTAAACCATGTCCCCAAGCACCACGTCTCCCCGGCTTTTCAATCCCTCCAGGGATGGGGACTCCACCACCTCCCCGGGCAGCCTGCGCCAGGGCCTATCATCCACATATTGCAGCAAGGCGGCTTCTGGATTTTCCTGTTGCCATCCTTCTAGTTCTTCGGCAAGCTGATTTCCAAAGACGGCCGGGCTATTTCTAAATCCTTCTGGTAAAACAGTCCAACACCGCTGTGCCCTTCAACCGGTCTGTGGCTCTTCCCACTCAAAGGCAAACAGTTCCTGACTCTTAGTGCCCAGCGGCATGCGAAAGGAGGCGTCTTTTAGACCCAATCCTGTGAGCCACCGGCCGCTGTCCTTCGTGGTAGCCAAAAGGGTATGTGGGTTAGCAACCGCGGGCTGGACGTCCCGTGTAATCTGATTTATAATTCCTAAATCCTGCACCAATCGATGTGCATTCAAATGTGGTGTTTTTACCAGCAAGACAGAGGTATTGCATTCTGATTGACGTTCTCTTAACAGTCCATAAGTGAAAAATTTTGTAATTAAAGGTTCCAAACCTTTCCCGGCTTCTCATTTAATCGGGTGTTGTTTCCGTCTTACCGGTCTTGCTCCATGTTTTAACGACGCGAATACCGCTTACGCTTTTCGTGACCTCCCTGGGGTCTCAGCCGCCCAGACCAGCGGGTTTACTGCATCCAGCGCTTCGTCGGGAATTTCGTCCTTATTCTCTTTTTCATTCTCTTCTATTTTCTGTAAGGCAAAGACTTGCGCCTCCAAGGGTTTTTCTTCTGGTATTTGTACACTAATAGTTCCTTGCTCAAAGCTTATCTGTGCATTTAATTTACTCAATAAATCTCTCCTAACAAGGGCATTGGGAAGATATAAAAATTTGTGACTATAACTCCTTTTACCAATTCCACGTTTAAGAGGCTGAAAGAAAGGCCGCGCTTCCCGTCTCCCTGTGGCCCCGACAACAGGGGTAACCTGTTCGCTTAATTGCCCTTTGCAAGTATTTAACACGGAATAAGTCGCTCCCGTATCGATTACAACCTTCACCTTTTCGTTCCCCAGCTTCGGGGTAACGGGGGTTCTGCTGGGGAATCTTCCGAACCCCCCCGGCCCCCTCCGTCCGCACCTCGAGCTGTAGTTAATGCAGTTAATTGCCACCCGTGGATCCTCCCTGCTTCGGGGGGGGCAATTCTCCGCTCGGGATGTGCGGCCATTCCCTTTTCCAGCGTCTCTTTTGCTCACGCTGGTCTTTCCCCAGGGGAGACCCAAGCCCTCGATTTGGATTGAACGCGCTGCTTCTTCCCGCGGCTTGAACCCCTCTTCCCCTACTCCCGTTCCCCTCGGCTGGGGCCGCCGCCAGCAGCCGGCCCTTCCGACCTTCCTTCTGCACCTGCGTTTTTCCCTGCCTTTTCTTTTCCACCTCCTCTCGGTTATTATACACCTCCCAACAACTTATCCAGCGACCTCGCGTCCGCCCCTGCTGTCTGTCTCCTGGCGCCCCACGAACAAGCTTACAAACCCCAAATTATCGTTTCCTTTTTCTGGGCTGGCTCACACCGTCGTTTGTAGAACGATGAGGGATTTTCACCTTTTCTCTGAAATATCCGATAGTTTGGAGAGATTCCTCCCGTTAGGTAGAGCATTTTTAGCTCCAAACAACACGAGCCTCTGATATTCAGTAATTCACAACCTCTGTATCGGGTTATTCGGATTCCATTCCGGGTTGGTCGGAGGGAAATGATCCTCTACCCTCCCAGCTGGGGCATCCTGAACGTGAACCCTCTCTGCCTCTTCTTTCGCCTTCGCTAACACAAGCCTGCGTTCTTCATGACATCAAATTTCCCAAAACTACCTGTAGATCTCACCAGTCCGGATCATGAGCCTCCGTTATCGTTTCCAAAACCTTGACCGTTTTATCCGCGTCCTCCTGTGAGGCCCTGCCATTGCCTTCCACGCTCCCCAACCTGCCGTGGATAACGGGACCCTCGCGTGTACTGGATTGCCGTCCACCCTACCGCTTCTCCCAAAGCTCCCTGCCACGCCGCTCCCCCCGCCTTGCTCCGTCAGCCACCGGGCCGACAAATCTTCCTCTCCATCTTCACTTTCCTCCTCCTCCTCCGGAGCTTCTCGCAACTTCTTACATCTGTTTCTGATACTCCAAGCCGAACAACGTCATTTTGGTACCTTTCCATCTCCTTCTTTCTCCGATGCCAACGCATTAGCATCTTTAGCAATCCAACCGCAGGCTCTTCTACTGTCGTAATCGTTCCTCAGCCCGAAAAACACGTCCCCATGGGCACACCGTCCCATTTACCCTCCCGCCTACAGAACGGCATAAGTTGCAAAATGGTGTTATAATTCAGAGTTCCATTTTTAGGCCATTTCTCCCGATCTTCCAAAATATAGGAAGGCCACCGCCGATTACAATACATAATTACTTTTATTTTAGTTAGGGGGTCACCACCAAATCTCTTCCAATGACTTAAAATACATCCTAACGGTGAATTCGCGGTGATTCCCCCTTGGGTAGATGGCAAGTTACCCTTTTTGTAACACCCACACAACAAGATGTCTTTTACGATCACAAAAACACCTAGGAGTACTCCGCAACCCAATCCTCGTGCTCCAGTTGTCACCGTAATATCGCACGGGGATAACCCGGGATATTCGGCTTCACAAGACCCTCCACCGATCTGTACCGCGAGCGGATACGAGTTACTCGGGGAGTGAACCCAAAATAAATTGGCAACGTCTTAGTTTTGGATGTCCGCTAGGTACTCACCACCCGCCGGGGGATCGCAAGACGGGAGTCCCCAAGGAAAGGCCTCCGGTGCCGGCCGGAGGCC